TGCTTGTTTCTGAAAATAAATGCGATTCTTCAAAGTTCACTTTAGTTCCATTCGATCAAATTTGCACAAAATTTTCCCGTACTGGAAGGGATTATTATTTAACCTTTTTTTACTAATTGTGGAATTCTTCCACAACACAATGTGTATAAGAAAAAAGTTTCGTCCTGTATTTCCTTATAGCATACGTAATTCCTTTTATATAAACATAATCATGATTTGGCAAAACTGAGAGCCTATTTCCCCCAATAACTTTAACCAGCAGGGCAGTTTTCCAATCCAAAGCCCTTCTTATTAATAAATCCTACCATTTGATCAAAATAACCTGTCCAGTATATGCTAAACTAACAAGTTTAATTTCGCCCTGAATTTTGTTTGCAGGATTCGCAGAACTGTATATATAGATAGATGAAATAGACTGCATTCCGAGATATATATCTCCGACATTTCACTCAGCGAACACCCAGTAGTCAAGTAAGTGACGGCAAGAAAAGACTACTCTTGAATATCGAAATTTTGTCGGGGTGATATAAGGGAAACGGTCACCTTGTTCGAGGGTTGGAAGGTCTTCCGGTGCGCAGTAGTGCTTTTCAGCCATTAGTGCACGGGCTTCTGCAGGATTGCGAGCGACCACCCACTTGGAAGTAAGCTCTACCGAGGGTTGTCCACATCCGGAATCCACAACTGAATACTTGGGTATTCGATAAAGGGGAAAGTAGAATAGGGAAACGTTAATTGTGTATAAATTTCAGTACAAACACCCACGTAAGGTGGATCTAAACGCATCCCCTTCCCCAAAAAATCCACAGCTCCCACTGTGGGGCGACAGGAAAATAAGATCTGCCAGTCTATTTGTGAACTACATGAAACGTCCATGGAGGCTGATAGCAGAGACCCCAAAGAGTGCCTTTAGGTCAGACAAACAAACCAAATTGCCATCAGGAAAATCAACAGCCTATAAAATCCACAAACCATAACAGTACAAGGGCGTGATGATAATATCAATTATCAGTGCGGCTTGACAGCACGCCTGAGGAATTGCGTCAATATCTATTTGTGGCAAATTGAGAGACACTAATTCCAGTCACCTCGGCCTCTATTCAGTCTGGGTCGCGTACCTCTTCGGAAGGTCAATCAATCATATGCCCTGAGCGAAAAAATGATCTGACATAAAAGCATTCCCCGATGGAAAGTACGCACATATGTGGTTAAATACCTCGACAGACGGCGAATCAGAAGACTTCTCCGGAATCCGATAGGCCGGCATGCGATGGCCCCACCAAACTTGTCGGCTGATGCACCAATGACGTCGTTTCTCCGGAGCCAGCCAATCACACCAAGTTGGTTCATAAAAGCTCGGTGATATGCGCACCTGACCAGTCTGTGCGGCCTAAAAAATCAACTTTTACTCGTGACGGAAGGAGAGCGAAGGGGAGACATGAAAAAGATAAAACGCTGAGGAATAGGGCAAGTAAGTACCCGGAGTGCAGCGTCGGCCATCGAGTCCGTGTTCACGAACCACTGCTCGCGCAGAAGCGGTTCGATCACATCACCTGAGCGAGAGCAGACGGGAAGGCTGACGGCACCGACCGGAGCCAGGAATTCTGCGGACTCACCGACAGCAAAGCGTCCTCGGTAGAGTCCGA